TTCTTGAGAATAGAATATCTAAATTCATGAGATAAAGAAGAACAGATTCAATGTTGATTGTTTATAAAAGAAATACAAAACATGCAATACAAACTGAGAAATAAGGATTAAAAAAAAAATAGCCCAGAACTTGAGCTATTCCTAAGCATGGCATAATATACTCGAGCAAAATTTGCAGCATTTTAAAGTGATAATGTCTTATTTTCTTAAAAAAATGTACAGTATGTCGTATGGAATAAAAGAATGAATCCCTCTCAACTCTCTTATTACTTAAACCCCCCTCCCTGGAACAAAAAAAAAGTGTAAGTGCAATGAAAAAAAAATTGAAGGAAATTGCAATGTTACTGCATTGCAGAGGATGCAACCGAAGAATGGGGAGGAGAGCAAATTCACTTACCATCCACTGGAGTTTTGAGGAAGTAATGACATCATAAGGTGAAGAGTAGGTTAGATTCGAACCAAATCTTGAGGACGAAGTAGCAAAGGAAGCAAAAGAAGATAAGGAAAAGGTAATCCAACATCTCAAAAAACCAAGTCGAACCATGTCTCTGGCTAGGGTACGTACTGGTGGTCGCTCCTACTCTTTTCCTCCTTTCCATCCATATTCAGCTAGGGCTCCCGCGTGGCGCTCGATTCTTCTTCTTTGAAAGGTTATTGTGTAATATACGTATATTCCACATTGTATTATACCTCAATGTGGCCTTCTTAGCTATAATTGAGTCGTTGGACTTGACCTAAGAGTTGATTTGGGTCCTATTAGAGTTAACATGCATAGAGCTTGGGGCAAATAAGGCTCAATGCATGGGCCAAATAGGAGATCAACTTCTTTGAGAATTGTAGAAGCAACATCACCTTTATAATTGCGGATACCTATCAATGCATGGTCTTATCTTTTCTATGAAGTTTTAAGTTATCTCTTAGAACTAATGCTGATGGCAAAATTTATTGTTGTATTACTTTGGTTTTATTTGGAACAGTTTTCTTACCGTTTTCAAAAGCAGCTATCAAATACAAAAATTTTAAAACTATAAATTTTTATATTAAAAAATTAATTTTGAAATCAGTAAGAAAGTCGTTTCAAACGAAGCATTAATTAGGTGCAAGAAATTGTGTGAGAAATAGATGTTGGTTTGACTTATTTAGGGCATCTCCAACCGAAAGCCATACAAATGTATGATTTACTTCCTTCACTCCATCCGATCGGCAAAAATATATGGCACTATTTGATTGCGGTTAATAGAGCAATGCCAAACGCTATTTTTTTTTTTTTAGTTTGAAAATTAATTATTTATTTTAAATATTTAAGTTTAGAAATTTTTTATTAATAGTTAATAAATATATGGATTTTTTTTTAATGTTTTGGGGCGAGCCCATGGATCAATCGGGCCTTCATAATCTGATTTGGTACAGTTTAACGAAATCAACCAGTAAGAATTTTTTTTTATTGTTTTAATGCTATGATTAATTAGATTTAGGCTTTATTTGAAATACTTTTTTTTACTGATTTTTTAGTAGCTTTTTAATAAAAAAATTTTATAAATTAAAAATCTTTATATTAAAAACTTGTTTTAGAAAACAATAACAAGTTGTCTCAACTCTCAATCGAAGCCTTAGTATTTTACTAGAGATAAACTATATTGATCAACTCATAAGCTATAAAAACATATTGATTAATAGGAAATAAAAAAGTTAGAGAAGGCTTAATTATATATTTATAGTTGTGCATAATATTCAATTTTTTATTAAATAAGTAAATAAAATTCTAATATTTGATTACAATTTGAATACTACAACATTACTCATTTTACAAATTCAAGACCAAAATATTTTTAAGGGAAGCATTTGAGCATGAGTCTGCCCATGATTAACATAGCCTCTCCGAAGGAGAAATTATTTGGTGCTCGGTCCGAACGTAGCTATATGTGTCTGTGCTCCACGTGTAAAGATTTATTTGAAGTCCGGACATAAATCTATGTCTGGACTCCGCACCAAATAATTTCTCTCTTCAAAGACATTTGAAAATTAGAACAATATATATATAATTAGCATGGCCTCTACGCAAAAATGACACGAAGAACAAATTAATTTGACACAATGTATAAATGCATGCTAAATGAAGCATGTAAGTTATTTATCCATAAAAGTTTAGCATGCTTTACTAGAAGTTAAAAATTGTAATAGAAATAAATAATTTAAGTTCCATAAATGCCCTCAACTAAAGCTTCAATTTACATAAGACATTTTCATGATGCCTTCTTTATTATATTAGCTAAAAATATGCCATTGGTTAGTGAGAGTAAAACATTCTAATTGCTTTCTTGTCCATACATATTTATTTTCTCTATTATTGTCGTATATTTAATTATCTTATTTTTTATATATAGAAGAAATAATAATTAAAAAAAAAAAGGCCACTTATGCGGCCATCGTTGTCTGAGGTTATAGTGGATGGCTCCGCACAAAATCTTTTTCTGCTCATAAAGAGGATGGTCCATAATGCTATTTAGGTATAATGGATCCAACGGTGATCTCTGTGGTTAATATGAGGGTCACCATCCTTACACTTACTCAAAGGAACACGTCACGTGGCAATGAATTAAAGGAGGTTTGTTATGGGGTCTTGTCAACATTTTAATTTCAATTTCTTTCTTTTTTTTACTACTTTGATCCATAATACTTTGCTCTTTTTTAACTTATTTTAGAGGGCCGGGTTTGATTTAGTCTTCATTTGGGATGATTTTCTTTCTACTTCTTAGAACAACTTTTTAGTATAAAAATTTTAATTTTGTACTATGAAGCTGTTTTATGAAGCAGTCAGAAAATCGTCTCAAATGAAACCTTAGATTTCATTTGGGATAACTTTCTTACTGTTTTATGAAATAATTTTTTAGTACAAAAACTTTAAATTTTAAAAAATTTGAAATTTACTTCATAAAGCTGTAAGAAAGCTTTCCCAAACGAAACCTTAATATTCTATAAATAAAAATATATATTTAGCAATATTAAAGGGTGTAAAGACACTCTTATGTTATAGAAAGGAAATTGGTTAATTAAATAAATTAATCAAATATTTCTATTTGTTTAGTGGACTAATTAAACACACAACATTTATGAATATGGAGCTAACCATAGAACAAAACAAGACCCCTAAAGAATGATAAGTACTATAAATATATTGTACATAAATTATGGATAATTCAAAGAAAAAAAGAGTGTGTTTCTCAATGATTCTTTAACATTTCTCATTTGTATTTAGATGCTTGTGTTTATCTATATTTTAAAATATATTGAAAGAGATAGTTTGAAAGCTTAGTTTTTCATAAATGTCTAAATAGGCTTTGGATTAAAAAGTCATGATTGAGCTAGCACCTATTGGATCTAGACTTCTAATATTCTAATAAATAGCTAGACAATCCATTATGGATCCCGTGGGACCATAGATAAGCATAGATATTGACTAATAGTTTAGCATCGCTCGAATATGACACAATCATGCTCATACGAACTTAAGCTATCCAAAAGTTATTATTGGCTTATCTCAAGGTTGAAATTATTTGGTTAACTTCTAAATGTTACATATGATCTGAAGGACCCAATCGACTGTTCTTGTTTATTATGTTAAAAGTGTAAATAAATGCTTAAGAGTGATTAATTAATCTAATCTTGCACTTGGCATGCGAATGTGGTTAAGGTTTACTATTTGAAGGTAATATTAAATCCAAATGACTATGGGTTTAGCCCAATCACCCATTAAGTTTAATCCCCGTAATTGATTAGACTATAGTCGTATTAACCCTATCATAAAACAGGATAAAGATTTAGCCATGATGGAGTATAAAGCCCTTGAATTATCTCAAAACTCACTAAGAAAGCCCAATTGAATGTTTATCTAATTGATTGAACTTCAAAGTCTCAAGATCTTTAATTACCTCCAAAATAAGTGAGTTGGGACTTAGGCTTTGTTTGGGACAGCTTTCTTATTATATTTTTAAAGCAGCTTTTTAATACAAAAATTTAAAATATTATACTAGGAGGCAGCTTTAAGAAGCAGAAAGAAAGCCGTCCCAAATGAAGCCTAAGTGAGCTAATTAAATAAGGTCCACCCCAATAATAGAATTATGTTTTAAATTTGCTACAAAGATTGTTATGCATCCTTCATTAAAGCCTTAAATTTAAGTTTATGGCTTAAGTCTAAGCCTTAGGTAATGATAATATCTGTTCTCTTAAAATTAAATCTCATTTGATCCATAAGTTTGAGTCTAATTATAAGAACAATCAACTAATTACTCTAATAAGGTGCTTAATCATGCAAGTTGAACTTGCAATGGCAAATCTAAACCTAAAACCTAATGAATTTAAAAATACTTTTAATTATGTGATTTAATCATTATTGAATTTAGTAAACAGTCATAGTTAATTAATCCTAAATAATTGAACTTTTGACTTGAACCATACTTAACCCAGCAGACATGCCCTTTGACTCACCAAGTCGTTAATTTGATCATTTTGACAATAGAATGGGAGCGAAATCCCAAGTCAAAATCTTATACTCTTATAGAAAGATTTGTCTCATGAAAATAGGATTAAAAATATACTAAAAGGGGTTAAATTTTTCTTATTGCTAACAAAGCTTGAGAAGGCTCATGAGCTCTATGATTCTTCTTTTGCTCTTTTAAAATTTCATTACATAAGACGGAAATATAAAATTTAAGATGCTACATAAAACATAAGTATAAAATTTAAGATGATATTATTTTAATCTTTAAAATTAGATTATTTAATCTTTCTTTAAAAATTCTATTGTAATTTTATGAGGCCGATTAAGATATTTTACATTTTTTTTGGCATTATGTGTGCTTGAAATTAAGATAATAATTTTTTTTAATCTTCTTGATATTTTGATAAAAAAATTATGATAATGTGATATTGAATTATATGATCATAAAAAATCATAATTTTACTCATAGAGCCATTCCTTCCTCACCTAATGTTTCAAGACATAATCAATTCATAAAAATACTAAAATAAACACAACTTAGTACATTATAAACTTTGGTCACTTATATTATTGATTGATTTTTTGACCGTTGGAAAACTGGATGAGAAAAAAACATTGAAATAAGAAAAACCAATTCTCATCCTTCTCAAAGGTCCCTCCTTTTCCCCATACCTTTTTATAACTGCTAATAACTGCCACCCTTCCTCTCATTCTCCCCCTCCTCGTTCTTCTGCCTACCTATGACTGCATATATCCAAAAGCTTCTTCCTCCCTTCCATAATCTCATCAAAGAAATCATCCAACTGCGCAGCCACACTCTCTGCTCCCGACCTCAACAGCCCAAACAATCCCTTCAAACTCTCCAACTTCTCTCTCACTTCCTCATTCTCACTTCCTCCTCCTCCTCCTACATTCCTCTCCGCCTCCTCCCTTAGCTCCTCCAATGCCGTCTTCACCTTCCTGAACTCATGCATAAGAATCATGGGCCTCCCTTCCATTCTCTCTACTTGCCCCACCACGCTCTGATGCAGCGTCCTCATCGAAGCCATGAATCCAGAACCATGGAGGAGAGAACCTTCCCTGACCGCCACCTCGTTGACACCTATGGTGCTTGCGCTGGGTTCCGGCCACCAAGACACCAATCCCCAGAGCAAGATAATCAGTAAGAATGAGCTTACACTTCTCATGGCGTAGAGCACTCCCCTGAATCCATTAAATCCATTAAGCTTCGATTCCATCTCCAATCTCGAATCCAGTCTCAGCGAAATCTGCTCGGTCCTTGTCTCCACCAGAACTCTGTTCTCGACCTCCAGCCCCGCCGCCTCCCTCCGGCAAACAAAAACAGCTCGTTTTACCTGCAGAGCAAATTAACACTAAGAAAGATAACGATTTGGAAAATAAGATGGAATTAGTGAGTTGTTTATGGAGGAATTAGTTAGAAAATGACCTGGTTTGCAACCCGGCTGTCAACGGAGGAAACTATGTTAGCTCCAGTAGTGGCGTAACTCTCCATGGCAGTGATTCTGATCTTGAGCACTTGACAAGCTTCCCAAAGGCGAGAGCTTTCGTCCATATACTCATCGAGCCACTTCTCTCCCACCGGAAGATGAAGCTTTTTCACCATATTAATGAGCTGGCAATGGAAAGAGCGGAGAAGAGAAACGGTACTTTGAATGAATTGAAGAGACATGAACTCCGTCGAAGCAAAGCTTCGCTCCAGATCATCGATGCCGTGAGCAAGATAAGAATAAAAGTTATTTGCTGAGCTCGAACCTGGCTTCATTTTCAAAGTGTGATTTTGCAGAGCAGAAGGTGATGGTGGTAGTAGAAAGGGGAATAGGAAGAGGGAGGTATAAGAAGAAGAGTCCAGCTTCCTATATTCTGAAAAGGAAAGCCTGTGAACAATGATGGCTGTTTCCTTCAGAGGGAAAAGTTGGTTGGGAATCTACCATTCTGCACCAATTCCACTGAAAACATTCTTCATATTTTCAATTCATTACCCTCTTCTCCTTCTTCTCTCTCCTCCTCCGCTTGTTTCTCTGTTTCCAAGAAGAAAACAGAGCAAAAGAAAAGTAGAGGCAGGTATCTCCTTCTTGGTCTTTATGATTCCCAGCTCTCGAGTTAAGTTTGAATAGACCGATGTGGAGTTCTGGGACCAGTGTGACTGAGTGCAAAAACAAGAAAGAAATTAAGTAAAGGAGCTAACTTTCTTCACCTGCTCCGCATCGATAATTCTCTTTCCCTTCTTGCTTCTAATTTACCCCGTAATTCTTATAGAAATTCAAACCCTAAAGCTCAGTTCTTTTCCACACTCTCCCCGAGATTATACTTATTAAGAATTAGTAGGAGGGGGTCTAATCTCTTTGGAATGTGGAAGGAAAATGATGATTTCCATGGAATCCATCCATATCTCTCGATTCCACTAGTCAAAATCTGCTTTTTAGATCGTCCCCGTAATCTTTTTCAAGCTATCAAAGCTTCGATTTTTGAGAGAGAATTGGGTGGGCGAGGACACAGGAGGGGCTTACAGGTGCGCTCGTGGGTTTTTGGAGAATGGGATCGATGCTTTTAGGCTTGGAGAAAGACACAGAATTTTGGTTTTTTGAGATCTCATTGGAAAGTGAAGGGCTATGAGCATATACACGATGCCTTCGTTATTATTTTATTTTATTTTTATTGTTTTTTTAACCTTATAATTTTAATAATACATAATATAATCGAAATTAATGGCTTGGCAGATTATTCCTTGCTTAGTAATTAAGGCTTCGTTTGGGACGGCTTTCTTGCTGCTTCTTAAAACGACTTTTTAGTTCAAAAATTAAAATTTTTGTACTAAAAAACTGCTTTAGGAAGCAACAAAAAAGCCGTCCCAAACGAAGCCTAAGTTTCTTGTGGTTACTCATTTGGTTAAGTGATTTAGCTGCACGTGACTTGGTAATTAATGCACCATACTCTTTAAATGTGTTCTTCATTTTTTTGCGTGTAAAAAGAGCAAGAGTAGGCTCCATTGCACTTTGATTTGCACATAAATTTTAACCTACCAACGATTAATCTCTATTACTTATATTTAGTTCTAAAAACTTTGGAATTTAATAGATTCTTATTCATATATTTAAGCAACATATTTAATATGAAATATGAGAATGTATGTTTTATGTATATAATATTTAGTTTTATGTGATTTCTTGTTGTTAGATATTTATAAGATTTGATAAGAGCCTAATTTGTTATGTCAAGGTGGAGGAACATATGATATAAATATGTGAGAAGTACTAAGATGGATGGGAATTTAGGAACTGGGCTGAAAGTTTCGTGGTTGTTGAGGCCATATTCTTGGTGGTTACCCTATGTCACAAGCCAAACATTGTATCGGACAATTGAGCTGTTGGCATTTCGTTTTGTTTTGAATGTCCAATGAGAGCCAAGGATTGGTTGATTGACTAGTGGAGGGACTAGGATCTAGGTACCTTGTTGTTGAAGGGGTAGAATTTTGGAAGTCATAGCTGGTCTTCAATGTTGGTGTTTGGATGCTTCGGTATAAGTGGTAGGATCGATAATATTGGAGGTATGAAGATCTAGAATTTGGCGGGGTTTAAAGGAACCCATTTGAGAGCGGGTGGTCATTGGATGAGTGGTTGGTAGATGGTTTGGAGGAGGTGGGTGTGGAGATGGGGATGGGATGAGTTCGGATGGGTTTGTGTCAAGGCATTTATAGCCTAATTTGCTAGTGGTTGGGTCAAGGCATTTATAGCCTTTGTATGATTGGGCATAGCTAATGAAGACACAAAGGGGGGATTTAGGTGAGAATTTGTGTCTTGCTGTAGGTGGGAGGAGAGGATAACAGGCACATCCATATATTTTGAGATGGTCGTATGTGGGGGCTTTGTGAAAGAGTTGATGTGGCGAGATATTGGAGGTGGTTGACGACGGTAGCAAGTTAATGAGGTATACAACGAAAAGGAGAGTATCAAGCCACATATAGCCAGAGATAATAGGGAAGATGAGCTGTATGTAGGAGGGTTCTTGTGGTCTCGAGGATGTGACGATGTTTTCGTTTTGTGAGACCATTTTGTTCTGGGGTATATGGGCAGCTAATCTGATGCTTGATGCCATGAGTTTGGAGGTGATTTTGTAAGTTATGGTTAAGATATTCGGTGCCACCATCACTTTATAGACATTTTATTTTGAGGGAAAGTTTATTTTTCCTATGGCAATCTGAAATTTGACAAAGGTAGATAAGACATTGGATTTGTGCATTAAAGGAAAAACCCATGCAAAACAAAAAGAATCATCTATAAATGAGACATAATATTTAAAACTATCCATATAAAATCTAAATTCCTTAGAGCACCTCAATCATTCCTAACTACTAATGTAGCATAATTGTAAATTAATGGAATAATAACAGTGCTTCACAAGTCAAAAATCTTAATAAAGAATAATTATCAAAGAATTCTAAAACTACTTATTAGATGCCTAAATTTAGAGAGGTGAAGTGTTAGAAGAAAAATTTAATGGAGGAGAAGAAGAATCGTTAAAATTACTTCAGCATTTGCTTGTGAAGAGTTGTTGTATAGCTTTTAATCTCCTTTGGCCTTCATGAACAATTGTTTTTTCTAGTGTTTGAAAAATGCATTTTGCTCCAATGTTATTTGAATATTTTCAGCATCAATAAATTATAGAAATTTGAGAGCACTATGTGGGGTGTCCATGGACACATAGAGTTCAGAAAAATGATCGTCAAATGAAATTCATAGATAGGGGTGTCAAAAGTTGACACGCATGAAACCTGACCCGAAAAAATCCGGGTTCGGGTCAACCCGTTTATGAAATGGGTCCGGTCCGGGTTCGGATTTTTGACCCGTATGAAAAAGCGGGTCGGGTTCGGGTTGACCCGACAACCCGCGGGTCGACCTGTTTTCCGCCCGTCACTCAGGTTGCGTCCGCGGTGCCCGTCAGGTTTCGTCTGTGTTAGGTCGCGGCCGCGTCATGGCGTCAGGTCGTGTCCGGATCCTGCATCACAAGTTGCGTCCGAGTCTAGGTGTCCCGCGTCCGCTGCTCGGCGCTTCCCGCGTCCCGTCCAAGCGTCTCGAGTCAGGGCGTCACGTCTAGCGTCCGCGTCCATGTCCAAACCTCTGGCCCGTCCAGGCGTCCCACATCCAGCAGTCCAGGCATCCCACGTCCGCGTCCAAGCATCTCGCGTCCGCTCCGCAGTCTTCGGCCCTCCGCTTCGCTTGGCTTCTGCGCTCCGTAAATGTTCGCGGGTCGGGTTGTGTCAACTCGATAACCCGCATGGGTCGGGTTCGGATTGACAAATCTGACCCGTTTGCAAAACCGGGTCATGTTAGGGTCAATCCGAACCCGACCAGTTGACCCGAATTGACACCCCTATTCATAGAGAAGATTAATAAGGTTGTCTATATATTTTTCATTTTCATTGGACAAGGAAAGTATTCATGGGTCATTTTTTTAATTGTTTATTCATTGAAAAAATATATGTCAAACGAACAAACTAAATTTAAGAAGTAAAAGAGAAAATAACAGCATGAAGATGAAAGTAATCACAATAAAGACATATACCAGTACATAAATATATAAATTCAGTGGCTCGATGAGATCTACATACAACCACAGTAACGTTCAAAGAGCGGTTATTACTTGTACTTTTTTTTTTCAAATTTATGATTTTGTACCACATTATTTCAAAGACTTAACGTATATTGCATTGCATTGCTCGACAATCATTGTCGATGTCCACCTTCAATAATTGTTGCTACCATCATCTAATTTCTATCATCCAACTATTATCAATTTGCTCGACAATACTGTTCATTTGTGGACACCTAACTTTTATAATCCATATAACAAAAATCAAAGAATTATTCTGCATTTTTCACATACTCCCAATCACTAAAAATTTTCCAACATGTATATATACACACACACTTATAATATTTTTTGAGTTTAAGTGAAATTAAATACTTAATATATTAATTATTTTTGATATGCTATAATATAAGGATTGTATTAATCAAACAATCAAATTATTTTAATCCTAAATAAATCACTCCTAATTTAAGATGAAAGAGGATTTGGCTAAATAATTATGAGAGAAATCTTAAAAGTACCGAATATATCATATTATTTAAAAAAAAAACAAAAAAAAGAAATTCTCTTTGCTAGTGAAAGGGATGTCGCATCTATAAACATCCATTGAAATCATTATCTTAAAAACAAAAGAATCAAAAGCAATGATTAGTATTGTCATTCCATTGATTTGTTATCAATATTTTTTTGTTCAAATTGAGAGATGATTGGGATTTGCCTTTGCATTGCAATTATTAATCACTCTCTTAGATTCAACATCTTATTATTAGGCCCGACTAAGAGAATCATATTTGAGCCTTGCATGTGCACTCCCTTCCAAACCACAATAATACTTTCTCCAAAATATTTTCATTTTTTTTTCATATTTTAATGCTCCATTTATCCAACTCATATCTCTTTTTTTTTTAAAAAATTGGCACAAATATTATATAAAATTATTCAGCCTCTTTGCTCTCTTACTCTCTTTCTATCTCTAAATTAATATAAATTAAAATTATAATAGACTTAAGTTAACTTAATAAATAACTTATCATTCAAATTTTAATCAGTGCTGTTTCCTATAACAGTTCTCCAGTACAAAATTTATTTGAAAACAACGAAGAAGTAAATCTTAATTTGAATTATTAGCATATTAGTTAATTTATTTAAAGAATATTAAAATAAATAAGTTCAATATATACTAAAAAAATTAAATAATTTGTATGTAAAATTATTAAGAAAATATTCTCCTTCTTTATAAAAGAGAGAATCATGACACTAACTCAAATTTTATGTTGGAATACATAATAAATTTTAATAATTTTATGATATATTGATAGTTGATGCAATTATAATTGAAGTATTCAATGATTGTTCATATCATTACAAATAATTTTTTTTTTAATATAAAGCAAAAGCATTTATTGCTCAAGCCTAGCTAGCTAGATGCAAAGTGAAGTGCACTATAGGTGTTAAAAATTTAATATGATATTGATTCGGCCACTTGTGAGCATATGAATTAATTATAGACTAAAGCTTTTTCTTTGAGAATCATAATCATTATTTTTATTTTTGAACTTAGTGTTCTCAAAAGTTTAAGATACACTAACAAAGATAAATGACAAAATTAATGATTGCAAGTCACATTCTAACCATTTTGGCTTCTTTACCAATCAATAGTATGACCAGATTATTGATTAACTTTTTTTTTTAATGAAAATTTTCATTTGATGTTGATGGATTGATGCACATCATCGACATAAATCATCGTCTGTAAGTTTGTTATACGTTGTCAACACTATAGGGATGATGCCAGCCAACTCCGTTGCCTAACTTCACTCTATGGGTGTCAATTTCGGGTCACGAGTCGGGTTCCGGTTGAACTCGGAACTGACCAACACTATTCAGGTCAACACGATCCTGATCATGACCCGTTTTTGTAAATTGGTCGATTTTTCGAATCCAAACCTGACCCACTTTGAGTTCTAGTCACCTTGACCCGACCCGCAGACACGGCAATGCCGACAGCAGTGGTGGGTCGGCAGAAGCGGTCCGACGACCGAGGACAAGACACGGGACGACAGGCAGGCGAGTCAGTGCGGTGGGCAGGTTCGGGATGCAATGTGACGTAGGATGGACGTCAACGCTAGCCTTGGGATACCATGTGAGACTTCGGGACTCTAGCGTACCGGCTAGACAGCTCATGTTAGGTGCGGTCAGCGAGGGCATGTTCAGTCAGTACGGGCAGTGCGGGTCAATCTCGGGTTTTCCGGGTCAACTCGAACCTGACCTGACTTTTAAAACGGGTCGAAAACTTTAACCCAAATCTAAAATTGGGTTGGATTCGGATCAACAGGAACCCAAAATTTTCGGATTGAATTCAGGTCAGATTTTTTGGTCGTGTCAAATATTGACATCCCTACTTTATTCACAATGTTGGTGCACACCATTGCCGAAAGAGCTAATGCATTTTGTTGACAGTTGACATCATTATTGATTCTGAACATTAACATTGAGATTACTATGTTATGCATCTTGTTTTTTGGTCTCTTTGACTCATAAATATAATTTGGGAAATTTACATTCATACCACTTTATAACATCCTATTTACATATCTAACACCTAAAACTTTAATATTACATGAATACCACCCTATATTATTTTAATATCAAATATACCACTTACATTTCTTTCCTACCACTCATATATTTCATTTTTACCACTTATATTTGATATGAAAATGAACTATGGGTGGCATGCATGTAATATTAAAATTTTAGATGTTAAATATGTAAATAGCATAGTATTAAGTGGTATGTATGTAAATCTCCCTTTTTTCGATGCTTTAAAGCTCATACAAACATCCAAAATAAAATTCATTATCAAATGTTCATATCTACTCTAACTATAACGTATCAATACATTTCCTAATTACTGAGAAAGACATTATTTGCAACTAATTAATTAAATTTCAGAAGGAAATTTTTTTGTAACTTTTATTTGATTGAGGATAGTTTAAATGACTTTTTTTAAGTTTATTTGGAAGTTGAAAATTTAAATTTTTATTTATTACA